TTTTTATCCACGATATAGTTACCCCCACCACCGGTATCGGTGTTCTCCGCCTCTTCTTCCACGACTGCTTCCTCTCCGGTTGCGACATTTCCACTCTCATTTCCTCCAACGCCTTCAACAAAGCTGAGCACGATGCTGAAATCAATCTTTACCTCCTCGGCGATGCGTTCGGCGCCATCGTCAGCAATAAAACTTCTCTGGAACTCCAATGCCTCGCCATCGTCTTCTGCGCCGACATTCTACTCCCTTACAACCATCTCCTTGCAGAGAGAGGGAAATGAAGATGCAATGAAGCTGGCGTCATGTTAATGTATATTTATTTATACTTCCAATGATTTTCATTTTCGGTTAGGCTTCTTAAATGATGGACAGTTTATAAAATTAAATTTAACATTGGTAACCATTTTATTCGTCCCCCCAACTCATTTAAAAGTTGAGACGACGAAGGAATAAATTATTTTTTTTGTCAATATAGTATAAGAGAGAATTCTAGAGTCAATCTTAAAGAAGTTGTGAGAAATAAGAAGTACAATTATTGTTTTCTAATTAGCTATTAATTTATATTTAATGTTTTCTCATTCCAATAAATTTTTAGATTTTTTCAAGAGAGATGATTAATAGTGGTATAGTCTCCTTTCAAAGTTCGATGATCAAAACAAACAATTATGCAATTGAAATGTCGAAAGAAAGACACTCCTTCAAACACACAATGACCGGGAGGATATGGAGAAAGATTATATTGAACAAAACAATACGTGAGCACACTTTTCAACACAAAAGAAGAGCTTAACAGACTTAAAAAAAGATAGATAAGAAAGCTCACTCTCTTCCTCACTCTCTTCTATCAATCTTTAGATGATAATAAAAAAAAAAAAATTCAAATATAACTTAGCAAAATAAACATGGGAGAAGTTCCATGAGTAACAAAAAATTAAAAAGATAGGACATCAAACATTAAAAAGCCAAATTGATGCTTTATTTGTGAAAAAAGGAAAATTTTGCTTTGAATATTCTTCAAGTCATCATCATTTTTAATCAAATAAAAAAATCATAAGAAATTAAAAGATATGACATCATAGACAAGATTTTTTAATCATTTGATCCAAGGTTTAATAGTATCACAACTCTTATCAAAGATGCTAAGCATCTACAAGCTATGATGATAGAAAAACGCTTGTGTTCAATTAAGAAAAAAGAAAATATGAATGAAAAAATATCCCCATGTTTCAAATGAGACCATAACTAAAAAAAATGAAAGCTTGAACAATAAAGAAACCCAACGTGGAGGAGCCCAATGATAAGGCCTGGGTCCTCCTAACTAGCAATGGTAGGTTTCAAACAATAACAACTACAAAGAAGGAAAAAGCTCAACAATAAAATTTAAGATATTAGGCCAATAACATACATACCACCCGAAACTTGGTGTTTACAAATCAACCACCATCTTTAACCTTTTTTTCAAATTCTATCAAATATCAGAATTCATGGTGAACCGTAACCCATGTTGAAATTTATTCTTATTTTATTTCAAAACTAAAATTAAATTTGGGACAAAGATTGAGCTTAAATCATAACTCTTATTTATAATTTAAGATCCTAGCCAAATAAACTTAGGTTAAGATCCAACTCATTTATACTTTAGGCGTTGCCTAGGTTAGTTAATTAAGCTTCCTAAGGATCTCGTGGAATTAACTCGATTTAACGGTTGACTGGATTGAATCTGTCCGGCAAGCACAACAAACGCAAATTCTGATTTTTACCCATCGACACACCAAAATTCTTTTGCACAAAAGATCAAACAATCTTCATCAAACCTTAAGAGCAAAAGTTACAAGAAAATGAATCAACTAAAACAAGGTATAGAAAACACAACTTTATTCAAAGCAAATAAAAAATAAAAAATTTCATCAAGGACACAAGAACAAATTCAAAGAATCGTCCAAGAATTCTCAGAATACTTTGATGGAATGAGAAAACTTTATATTCAAATCTGCAACCCTACATGAACGATCAGACTGTTGAAATATAAACTTGATTTTAGTTGTTTAAA